GGGGGGGGGGACGCCTATACACACATCCACAGGCACACACAGACACCCACCTCCGCACACACACACATAGCAAAACAGTTATACGATTTTTTTTTAAATTATTATTATTTTTTATTATTATTCCTATTTTTTTTTCTAATTCCTCTGTTAATTTGCCTGCTGATTTGGAATCTCGGTAGTAATGGAGGGGCAGAGGAGATTCTGGACCGAGTGGAGGCTATCATTTTTCAAAGAGGGAAGTTACTCCATTTTCTATGCAAATGACAGAAATGCAAGAAGCTCTCCCAAGTCAGAGAGGCAATCGACGGCTCTCAGGTTGGGACAATATTTGTCAGCTAACAGATAAGCAAACGCTGTCTCTCTCTCCCTATATATTTTACTTATACCACAGAAATGGACGTCAAAAGGTAAGGGAATAATATCTGTTTCTCTTCATTTGATTTTTTTTCTTTGAGAAAATGCATTTGTCAAGCTGCCTTTTCTGTTCCAATGCCCATCTCCCTCTCCCCTCTACCCGGGGGTGGGGGGGTGGGAGATAGAAAGAAAAGGGTGGGGTGATGAAGAAGGGAGGCACTGGAAGAAATAAGGGGTGGTGGAAATCTGCTTAAGAGACAATTTCCCCGAAAAGCTGTGGCGTGAAGGTGAGAAAGGGAGAGAGAAAGAAGAATGGAAGATAAAGGTAAAGAAAGAAATTCAGAGAAGGAAAGAAATAGAGAAAGAAAATAGAAAAAAAAATAAGAAAGCGAGCAAGAAAGAGAGTGAGAAAAAAGGAGGCGAAGAAAATAAGAAAGGAAATAAGAAAGAGAAGGAAAATGAAAATAACGGAATAAGAAGGAAATATAAAGCCTGTAATGTCACCTGGAGACAGTAGACTTGGAATGAAGGATTTTGCAGTAGCTCAGTGACGGAGGCTTTTAGATACTGCCTTTTAAAAAAATACCAAACCCTTTGTGGGTAGTTGTCGTGCTTTATTTTTTTTTCCCCCCTCGCAGAATCTCTTGCCAGTTTGCCTGTCTTCAGGCGAGCCCAGTAATTTGGCGAAGTTTGTGTGGAAGCCAGTTGGGTTTCGCGTTGCTCTCCAGGGTCATTATTATGTGGGTGGTTTCTTCGGAGAGGGCAGTTCGCGGCAGTCCTCGGAAATAAGGCTCTGGAAATGAGTTAAGAATGGGAAAAAAAAAAAAATTAAAAAAAAAAAGAAAAAAAAAGAAAAAGAAAAAAGGAAGAGAGGGAAAAAAAAAAAAAAAGATAATAAGATTGAAGCCAGCCCAGAGCTCAGCGCTCTCATTGTAATTTTCTTTCCCTCCCCCCTCGTGAAACTCCCAAATGAAGCTGACGTTGCGATGTAATAAACCTCCTTGTATTTAATTGCGTTCTTGCAGTGTTAACGGGGCTTTACGGCTCTCCCGGCCGGAACACCGGCTTGGGTTTCAGCCCCACGGTGTGTCGGTGCTTTTCCACACCAGGTTAAGTGCAAATCTCCCTCTCTTCTCCCTCTCCGATTCCCTATCGCTCGCCTTCGGGTTTAGGAAAATATTTGTCCGAGATGCCCGTCATTTTAAATGTGGTTGTCTTTTTTTTTCCCTAAGATTTCAAGGCGGGGGGTTTGAAATATAGTACTAATTGCTACTGTTACGAGGTGATTTTTAAATAAGATAATGTAAGAGCGTGTGTATGTGAAGCGAGATTGAGTAAGAAGAGATTCATTACTTAAGCATAAACCATTTTATGACGCGACGATTTATCTCACCTAAACTGACTGTGCCTGAATATTGTGTGGACAAGAGTAAATGATCGCAAGCCGTGGAAATAATAAACAGAAAGTCATATTTAAAGGCTATTTCTTCCCGAACCTGTTACATTTTTCATAAATGACGGGGAAAAAAATAATGCCTGTTCTCCCTTTTCCCTAAGTCTTTCCGCGCTCGTGTTTTTTGGTTTTGGATGGGTTGTTGTTTTTTTTTTTGCTCTTTGTAAGGAAAAAAATATATAAAAAAATAATTTAATTTAGAAACCTTGCTTCAAAATGCTTTTATGCCGATTCTTCCACACCCTGCGTGGGCAACCACTTGTGGAAACCCCTCACCTCGGTGCAGGCAGGTCTTTTTTAACCATTTCAGCCCGGTCCGGCGGGGGATGACCAAGGAGCCTCCCCGCACCCCTCGGTACGTGCGTCTGGGGAGGGGGGTGTCCGCGCTGCTCCCGGCTCGGCTCCCCTCCTGGCACCTTCCCCTGCTTGCTTATTTGAGAAAAAAATAAAATAAAAAGGCATAAAGCGGGGGGCAGCCCCCCGCCGCTCCGTCCCCCCCGGTGCCGCCGCCGCCGGGCTCGCCCATTCCCCGCCGTTTGCTGCCATCTACCGTCGGCGGCGGCGGCCGGCGGCTCCCGGGGGGCTCCCCGCAGCCCGTGTCCCGGCGGGGGGGGTCTGCCCCGGCTGCCCTCCCCTCTCCGAGGCCCAGGGGACCCCCACCACCACCCCCCGGCCCCGCTTCACCCCCCAGGCCTGGTGCCCTGCCGTGATTTGCAGCCGTCGATGCGCTTTTCGCTCGGTGCCTCAAAGCCAATATATATATTTATATACACACACCCAGGATGCGCTCGCACGTTTATGTGCCCTGACACGTGAGCTATGGGCACCCCGTGGGTGTATGTTGATCTATACGTTCCCCCAGCCTCTCCTGAGACAGGGTGTACGTCTGTCTGTCTGTCTGTCTGTCCGCCGGACGGACCGGTCTATGGAGCCCACACCTCTCCATCCACGCGTCCCGGGAAGATGAAGGGTCGGTGGCTGAGCCTGAAACACCAGCGGAGACGTCGTAAAATGCGATGCGATAATGACGTACGAGGCGAAGGGGATTTCAGCTAATCATAAAAAAAAGAAGGGCAGAGGAGCTTTTATTTATTTATTGCTTGGAGTGGTCATTTCGGTGGGAGTCTGGAGAAGATACGTCAAGTGGTGTCCGCAGCCGGGAGGTGGTTGCTGGGGAAGGAGCAGGGAGGGAAGGCAGAGGACGAATCACTCTTAAGTTGCTGTAGGCTTTGAAGGGACAATGCGGGTCTGTTATTTTAAAAAGGTTTCTCTCTCTCTCCCTCCCTCCCTCTCGCTTTCTCCCTCTCGTTTTCTCCTTCTACCACACAGTTTCCTGGCAACTGTTTGCGTCTGGACTAGGGACATTTTCTGGAAGAAAGTGAGATGCCCAGGGACTATGTTAAAAAAAAAAAAAAAAAAAAAGGAGGAAAAAAAAAGTTTCTCTCTTTTGACCAGCCACAGCCATGATTAACTTGTTCCATGCTGTAATTCCCAACACCCCCAGCACTCGCCTTCCGCCTTACATGATCCGTCTCGCCTTTTCCTCTCCTTCTCCCTGCTTTCCCAATATTATTTGACCAGCAGCCACCCCTTTCCCCTTCCCCGGGCTTGCTTTCGCCGAAATACTTGGGTCTGGATGCTTTTTGACTCCCCCAATGTCTCTCTCCCCCTTTTTTTTGTTGTTAATAATTAGCTGCACTCTTTAATGGAACAATGGTAGATTATTATTGCTTCTTTTCAAAGATCCCATTAACAAGGTTATTATGCACTGCACGGGAAGTCAGGTAAATTAAACTTAAATTGCTGGAAATTAAGTTTCAGGCGGTTATGCGCGGAGAGAGCGGGTATTTTTTTACACCTTCAGGGATCATTGTTTCAAATACTCCAACCCTGGAGCTCTACATGGCTTCGTCGGGTGTTGTTTTGTTGTGGTTTTGTTTTTGTTTTTTTTCCCGAGGTGATTTTGGGTGTGCATGAGCGTTACAGAGGAGGCTTCTCTGCTGCCAATGGCTTTCTATGTCTGACTCCAGGAACAAGGGGTTATTTCAAGTGTTTTCGTGGTGTTGGCTTGACTTTATGGCTGCAATAAGTCCCTCGGTAGGGAAACCCCCGCTGTGTTCTCACTTCAGAAGGGTCGGGAATTCCAGCTCCACATGAAAAAAAAAGAAAGAGTTTCATTTTTTATTGGAACCAACTGCACTGAACTTTCTACCAAGTTCTTAGCGGGTTTAGCTTTCACACAAGCAACGCTCTGTTCTGTTTGCGTGCCGAAATATTTGGGTGTTGTTTTAATCCCCTCATCTATCTGCCTGGCTCTGCCTGGTGGGCTTGGCGTTTGCTGGCCAGAAAAGCAAAGCGACAAAAAGCGGGACCTTGCTGGGCCGGGAGCTGGGGCTGCACATACTGTAAATACCTCTCTTTATCTGGATTTATACCCTGCCAGCGAGGGGTGTCTGTCAGGGGGGGAAAGGCGGCTTCCCCGCGCTGTGAAAACGCGTTTCACCACCTCTCCCGCCGTTTCTCTCTTTTGACCAGCCACAGCCATGATTAACTTGTTCCATGCTGTAATTCCCAACACCCCCAGCACTCGCCTTCCGCCTTACATGATCCGTCTCGCCTTTTCCTCTCCTTCTCCCTGCTTTCCCAATATTATTTGACCAGCAGCCACCCCTTTCCCCTTCCCCGGGCTTGCTTTCGCCGAAATACTTGGGTCTGGATGCTTTTTGACTCCCCCAATGTCTCTCTCCCCCTCTGCCCTCCCCTCCTCCCTCTTCCCGGCCGGGAGCTGGGGCTGCACATACTGTAAATACCTCTCTTTATCTGGATTTATACCCTGCCAGCGAGGGGTGTCTGTCAGGGGGGGAAAGGCGGCTTCCCCGCGCTGTGAAAACGCGTTTCACCACCTCTCCCGCCACTTCCACCTTTTTCTGCTCCTCCTTCCCAACCCCTGCGCCTGCTTTGGGGGAGATGGGGCCAAAGACTGAATAAAGAGGTGCCCATCGGTGCCCTCAGAGACGGGTCTAACTTAAGGGCTACTGTATAACCTCGCTTCTGCCCCCGTTGTTGCTCTGTGTGTGTCTCCCTCCCGGCTGGGCTGGCGCTAGAGGCGGCCAAAGAAAATATATTCGCAAAATCGGTCTTAGATTTACCTTCGGACTCGAGCGGGGACGGCGGGAGAGCGTCTTGTTAAACAGCTACACTGATAACCCAACATTTCAATCTCCTTTTTTTTTTTTTTTTTTGCCTTTTTGCAAAGCCATTGAGCTGGGAATAGAAACCACCTCTGTGCTAAACATTCAGTTCTCGGAGATTTAGTGGGGTTTAAGACCTCTGCTGTATTTACACGTATTATAGGTGGCAAATCAATTAGACCGCGGGCCTGACCCTCCGGAAGATGAAAACTATGACAGACATTGGTGGGTTTTTTTTTTTCCACGTTAGGAACCAAGTTCTCTTCTTTTTCTTTTTCTTTTTTTTTCCTTCCCCCCCCCAAATAACCATCTACAGGGTCGCCCTTCTAAGAGGCAAGACGTATTATTATCTATAGCGCAACTAAGATGTCAGCAACAAGCAATTAGCAGGCGGTCAGCTTCAATTAGTGCTTTTTTATTTTCTTTTAAATGTCGACTGTCAAACTACGCAAAAAGCCTGTTTTAGCCGCAAAGGTACTAGGATGAGAAGTATTTTAATACGGTACAACCGGGGAGGGGGGGGGGGGGATTTTTTTTTTTCCAAACAATTTCGAGGGTTTTATTTGCAGAGCAATCACGAGAAGTGAGAGAAAATATGAGAGCAAACATTTTCAGCAGCTGTACTCACGCACTGAATTATCAGGACATCCCATTTCTTAGCTCAAAAATTTGCATGCGGAGCTGCTCGTGCCAGATAATCGCTGGTTTTGCAGAGCTCCAAATGTTGCGTAACTCTCTATCAAACGTAAGAGCTGTTCGGCTTCTGCAAAGCAGTTAACTTCAGGCTCTCATCCCAGCCTTTTTTTTTATCTTCTTTAGTCATCGTTCCCTTTCAATCTCTCCCCCCCCGCTTTTTTTTTTTTTCTTTTTTTTTTTCCCCTTGCATACCAATAAAGCAGATCTACGTAAGTTTGGGTCCATTCCATACACAAAGGGAAACTCTGCAAGAACAAATATAAGAGATATCAGTCAGGGAGGGGGTGGAGGATGGAAAACTACTTCCTTTGCATGTTATTTCCTTGAATTATAAGGATTACGTTTCAGTCGAAATGTTCCTCGCAGCCGTGGCATGAAACAATCTTGGCTTTGCTGCTGTAAACATGATGTTTAAAATAAATTAGCTTGTAATAAGATACTGGTTTCGTAGATACTTAAAGCTCCGTCAGAGAGCGCCGCATTGGCAGCTCTACAGCCACCATGTAATATATGTAATTCTAGATTTGTAGCGCGCACATTCACAGATTCAAGTCGAGGGGAGTGTGTATTATAAGGCGTGTCATTTCATTGCATATAAGACCCGACAGACAGATGGCTACAAATTCGGACAGGAAACAAATCCTTGACAAAACGCGAATGAGCGGAGGACAGTGTTGGCTTTAATTTAGGCTTGTTGGTTTGGGTTGGGTTTTTTTTTTTTCTTTTTTCTCCTGTGAGATGGCTCTGATTTTTCTGAAAAAAAAAAAAAAAAAAAAAAAAAAAAAAAAAAAAAAAGAGAAAGGGAAGGCAGCGAGCAGAGATCCAACTCCACCTTGAGCAAAGAGGGATCTGAGGAGGGGATGCACCAGGTAGAGCAGAGCGTGTCTCTGGCGAGGAAATCCGGGCAAAACCAAGAGAGGCAAATCCCAGAGCAAAGTGCAGCTTTTAAGGCGACCGGGAATTGCTTGAGACTTTCTGGCTTATCCCTTCCAGCATTTGAACTTTGCAAAAATAGGTATTTTTTTTCAGTGGAGACCGGTTCAAAGTGTGGGGGGGAGGGATGCAAAACCGCGGGGTCTCTGCGCACCTCCAAGGCAGCAGCCTCATCACACCGCCAGCAATCCTCTCCTTAAAAAAAAATAACAATTTCAATCGGTAACAATTAATAAACTCGGGGTTTGACCGTAACCCAAGGCTTCCTTTTACCCATAAAAGGTCGGGCATAGATTTGGTATTAACAAAAAAACGCAAGAGGGCACAATGCGGTACCGGACTCCGGAGGAAGGTCGGGATTTAGCAAGGGATAAAGGAAATACTTCGATTTTCCATTTATCTCCCGAATACGGAGCTTTTGCAGAAAGGAAAAAAAAAAAAAGAAAAAAGAAAAAAAGATGCATTATATGAAAAGCAAAGGTTGGGTTGATGCGAGCGCGGCTCTCCCGAGCAGGGAATGCTAATCTATGGTAATTAGATAAACACGAACTGAAATAAGTTGTCAAAACCGATTTCTTCTCCTTATAGCAAATCTGAGTTAATCAACGCGCCGGGGGCTCCTTCTGGCAAAGTTCACACGCACACACAAAAAACTTTTTTTCCCTTTTTTCCCCCTTTTCTTTAACTGCAGCCAAGTACCCAGGCATTTCAGGACGATGTGCAGACACTAGGGGTTAAAGTTTTCCGAATGCGAAGAATTAACTTTTTTCTCCCCCCCAACCCCCACCCCCCCCAACTTACAGCCGGAATTTGTGTACGTTGTGTGTGTGTAAATACATATAGGCGCGCACACCGCCATCGGCGCAGACGGGCTCTCGCACACCCCCGCTCCGAGCTCCG